ATACATATAAACATACATACATGTATACATACATAAACAAAATCTATAATGTGCTCAAAGGTGATAGGTGCTGCAGCAAAATATAAAGTAAGGGCTATGAAGTGCTAAGTAGGGGTGAGTGTGTGCAATCAGGTAGTCAGAGAGGAGTCCCTGGGTAGTGCAAATGGTTAACCCACTCAGCTGCTAATCGAAAGGTTAGAGGTTCGAGTCCACCTAGAGGTACGTCAGAAGAAAAAGCCTGGTGATCTACTTCTGAAAAATCAGCCACTGAAAACCCTATGGAGCACAGTTCTACTTTGACACACATGAGGCCATCATGGGTTAGAACCGACTTGACAGCAACTGGTGTTTACTGGTTTGGGCACACCACACGCCTGCCTCACTGGGACTCCCTCCAGGCAAGGCTTTGCACACCTGGAACACTCTTCCCCACCTTCTCATTCTGGCTCCTTCTCATCTTTCTCTCTTAACATAAATGTCTCCTCTTCATGGGACTCTCTCTGGCCACTCAATCTAAAGTAGGCACTCTCTCCCACCCTCATTCTCTATCCAGTGTTTTCTTTCCAATGTCTTGTTTTATCTTTTCCGTTATTCCTTAAATTCCACGTGAGCAGGGACCATGTTTATGTTGTTCACTCCTGTATCGCTAACACTTAGCCTAGAACCTGGCACACAGTAGGTCCCCAGTGTTGAATACACATGCTCCTTAAAAACAAATGTCGTATCATAAGCATCTTTGCACCTCCTACCTACTGTAGTTGTTGGGTGCTGACGAGTCAATTCTGACTCATAGCGACCCCATGTGACAGAGTACAACTGCCCTATAGTATTCTTGGAGGACTTGAAGCAATTACTGATGAAGATCAAAGACTACAGCTTTCAGTATGGATTGCACCTCAACATAAAGACAACAAAAATCCTCACAACAGGACCAATAAGCAACATCATGATAAATGGAGAAAAGATTGAAGTTGTCAAGTGTTTCATTTTACTTGATCGGCAATCAATGCCCATGGAAGCAGCAGTCAAGAAATCAAATTGCAAATTGCAAATTGTCAGGCAAATCTGCTCTTTAAATTGTTAAAAAGCAAAGATATCACCTTGAGGACTAAGATGCGCCTGACCCAAACCATGGTATTCTCAATGGCCTCATATGCATGCGAAGCTGGACAATGAATAGGGAAGACCAAAAAACATCTGATGCATTTGAATTATGTTGTTGGTGAAGAACATTGAATATACCACGGACTAACAAATCTGTCTTGGAGGAAGTACATCCAGAATGCTCCTTAGAAGCGAGGATGATGAGACTTTGTCTCACATACTTTGGATACGTTATCAGGAGGTACCAGTCCCTGGTGAAGGACATCATGCTTGGTAAAGTAGAGGGTCAGTGAAAAAGAGGAAGACTCTCAACAAAATGGATTGGCATAGTGGCTGCAACAATGGGCTCAAACATTGCAATGATTGTGAGGAGGCGCAGGAACAGGCGGTATTTCATTTTGTTGTACATAGGGTTGTTACGAATAGGAACTGACTTGACAGCACCTAAGAACAACAACAATCTTAACGGAAGCAGATTGTCAGGACTTTCTCCCACACATCCGCTGGGTGGATTCAAACCGCCAACCTTTTGGTTAGCAGCCAAGCGCTTAAGTATTGCACCATCAAGGTTCCTTTCTTATCTGCTAATTACCCCTAAAGTGATCAGCACTGTGCCTTCTACAACAAAAGTGTTCAGTTAGTATTTATTCATTTTGGTGTGATCTCAGGTCTGAGCATGGCCTCTAAATTCCTTTCCACTGCTATAAATTATTCTGTTTCAGATGCTAATTCCAGTTGCTTGAAAACAGGCGGCATCAAAAATCAAGACTGCCACAGTCACAGTCGAACAAGTAAGTGTAAAGATGCTATTTTTCATTTCCAATACTGAAAACCATTCATGAGACAAAGCGACCTACTTTAATAAAACTTCGAAACTAAACCAGTGAGTGGGACCAGTTATTTCTGAAGGAAGGAAGTAGAGCAATGGATGACGACATTTATAAATGTATCAAAATCAAATTTATTTTCTTTTGCTTGGAAATGGTGTTATAAGAATTAAAGTGAGGAAGTAGAAACGTTTTCCAACCATGTTGTATTTCTAAATAAGTTTATCTTCCCTGGGTCAAAAAGTCTACAGTGAGTTCTGAGTTGGCAATCCCATTAGCCTTTCACAGTGTGAGGATAAATTGCAGAGTCAAGCCTACAATTTCACAACTCTGGTGTGTGTAGAGAACATTTTATACCTGCTAGGTGTGGTTCTCGCCAGTTGATAGGTATTAAATCACCAAATTCTCACACCTATATTATAAGGCAGGTACACTGATCCTCCACATTTTACAGATGAGTTAACTAGAGAAATTAAGTAACTTGCCCAAGATACACAGCTAGGGACAAATGATTTCAGACCCAAGCCCAGGCAGTCGGACTCCAGTACAAGTCTTTACCATGATAAAAAGGAAAAAGAAAAATACTAGCCTTTCATGAAAAAGAGTTGTAGGATTGGTCCACCCAGAGACTGGTGGCTATGGAATCTCAGTACAACCATTCTGCCTGTCAGAAAGAAAAGTGAGAAAACCATTTGACTGTCATTTCATTAATCCCATGGGAACTATGGGAATTAGTCCCATAGTTCCATAGAGCAAGCAAGGTCCATGAGCCATGGTGTTACCAGTCAATGTAAATTTGGTGTCTGTGTGTCTGTGTGTGCATGTGTGTGTATGTCTGTTGCAATCGTTTTGATGGCAGATAGACATTTCATAGCTCAGTAAAGTTCTAAGTAGAACGTTTAGTTAGAGGTAAGGGCAATATCCCCACAAAGCAGCAATTCTCGGGTTAATGAGAAGCTGTCCACCACCCGTCAGTTTGTCGTACCGTGGTGACTTTCTGTTATTGTGATGCTGGAAGCTATACAGGCAGGGTTACTCATGGTGGACACATTTCAGTGGTGCTTCCAGACTAAGACTAGGAAGAAAGTCTTGATGATCTACTTCTGAAAATTATCCAATGAAAACCCTATGGATCACAACAGAGTATTTCCAATATAGTGCTAGAAGATGAACAGTGATTGTGAAGACAGTGCAGGACAGGGCAATGTTTTGTTCTGTTGTACATGGGGTCACTATAAGTCAGAGCTGACTCAACAGCAACTAACGACATGAAAAGTTGTACAGCTCTTCTCTTAAAGAGATAAAAAAAATTAAACTAACCTTTTTTCTTCTCAAAAGGTCTTCAAAGCTCTCACCTATGGGAATTTGTGCGAGACCTGCTCCTATCTCCTGAGGAGAACTGTGGCATTCTGGAATGGGAAGATAGGGAACAAGGTATTTTTCGGGTAGTAAAATCAGAAGCCCTGGCCAAGATGTGGGGACAAAGGAAGAAAAATGACAGAATGACATATGAAAAACTGAGCAGAGCTCTGAGGTAAGTTCATAGCATGAAATACCACGAGCCTTCAAGCCGAGTTAATGTAAAATGGCCAGCCAGACAAATGTACACTGTTTTTGCAGCTTTTTACTCGGTAATTGAAAGATCATGAGACAAAACTTGGGTTCTTAGTTACAGGGAGGATTATGGTTTGTAAACTGACACGTCACCCTTTTCATTGTTGGCAGTCCTCCCCAGGGCTCACTCTGAACCCAGGCCACCTCACATATGCACACACACACACACACAAAAAAAAAAAACACGTTTTGAAGAGAGTACAGTGAGGTTTAGTCTTCAAGATGTCTGGGAACGGTTTAAGTGTAAGCTGATAGCAGGGTGTGGAAATGCCAGGGTAACCAGAGAACAGCCTTGTCATCCGGGAAGAATGGGGCAAGACAGTGTTTATGGTTCTGTTGTTTTCCTGGCGTGCCAACCCTCCCCACGAGTTCTCTTCTGCTGTCTTTCACAGATACTACTATAAAACAGGAATTTTGGAACGGGTCGACCGAAGGTTAGTGTACAAATTTGGAAAAAATGCACACGGGTGGCAGGAAGACAAGCTATGATCTGTTCCATGCATCAAGCTCACTGTTACGGATTTCTGTCTTTTAAAACAATCAGATTGCAGTAGACATTTGAAAGTCCTATTTCTTTTTTTTTTTTTTTAAATCTGCAAACGTGCTGATAAAATTTCTCCACATCTCAGCTCACATTTGGACTCAGAGTTGCTGCTGTCTACTTGGGATGATGGTAGCAACCCTTAAGAAATTTTCTTTTTTGAGGGGAGAAGGGAAAGAACTTTTGCAGCACCTTGATGAAATTATCTCCCTAGTCAAGAGTTGCAGAGCCACAATAACCAACGCCATTGTCACTGCTCAAAAAAAAAAAAGATAGAATTCTGCCGTTAGAGACTCAGTCCATGCTCCCACCGTAAAGGTTCCAAAGTTTCTGATGTTTGGTTGTGGCAGCTCACAAAGGAAAAAAGGTGAGATGTGGGTAAGACATGCATACTTAAGGTTTTAAATCATTAAAGTCAGATTCCATAGAAAAAAATTTTCATTAATAGAAGAGCTAAGTCATCAAGCTGGGGCACTAATTGGATTTAGCAAAGACTATTACAAAGTGTCTTAACCAGAGCATCTTTCTGGCCACTCAGGAAAACCCCCATGGCCATCATTCTAAGTTACACACTTAAAATCAGCCCCGTTAACAATTCTTGCTGAACTTATTCCCCCTCTTCTCCTAATTGGTGGCTGGCATCAGATATGCAAAGAGTGAAGTCAACAGATACTTGCATCAGTTTCCAAATCACTGCTGTTTCTGTGATTTAAGTCGTCAAAAGGATAAAATTGTAATTCACTGGTTCTGTCTGTGGCCAAGATGTTACACCTTCCGAAACTGGAAGTGTCCTGACAACTCTGTTAACAGCCAATTAAATTGTGAGTCTTTTGTCTTCCTACCTGATGTGTACTCAAGCTCTAAAACACATATTTCCTTGGCAAAAATAGTGACAGTGAATTTACACCAATAAATGTTCATGAGTTAAAGTCTACACAGACATTTGTTCATCAGTCATTGGTAAGTCAGTCATCCAGGGCCTACAACTAGGCGGGCTGCCCTGTGACTCCCACTTCACCACAGCAGGAAGCGTCAAGCGAAGAGGCACTGAACAGGCTACAGACCTCCATGCGAAAGTTTAACTTCAAAAGCTAACTTGTTTTAAAACAAGAAATGTGAATTACTGTAAAATAATCTATTTTTGGACTCATGTGTTTTCCAGGTGGATATAGTTTGTAAACAATGTGAATAAAATATTTAACATGTTAAACTGTCTCTGTATGATTAAATTCTGCAAGACAGCCTCTTAAGATAAATCTCTCTCTATATATTTACATATATGTGCTTCACTGGTTTTGCTTCTCTAGAGAACTCAGCCTGAGACAACTCTGTGAATATACTAAACACCATTGAACTGTACACTTTAAATGGATGAATTGTATCATATGTAAATTGGCTCCCACTACTCCCTCAGGGAGAAGACCTCGTGGCGCAGTGGTTAAGCCCTTGGCTGCTAATCAAAGATCGGTGGTTCAAACCCACCAGCCGCTCCACAGGAGAAAGATATGGCAGTCTGCTTCCTATGGGGCAGTTCTACCCTGTCCTACAGGGTTGCTATGAGTCAGAGTCGACTTGATGGCAAAGGGTTTGGTTTCTGGGTTTACTCCCACAAGAGAAGCCCTGGTGCTGTAACGGTTAAGTGCTTGGCCACTAACTCATGGGGTGGCAGTTCGAACCCAGCCAGTGGTTCTGCAGGAGAACGACCCGGTGATTTGCTCCCATAAAGATCACAGCCTAGAAAACCCTATGGGGCAGCTCTACTCTGTCCTATGGGGTCACTATGAGTTGAAATTGACATACAACAACAACTCCCTGAGGTTCAAGCTATTATAAAAAAGAAGGTACAAGTGATAAAAGGTGTCAAACGCTGCTGAGAGGCCACACAGACTGACTGAGAATGGACCACTGAATTTTAGCGACACGGAAATTACTGGTGACTCTGCCACTACAGTCTACTGCCTCTTACTAGTTTTATTCTCCTTATAAATTCTGTTCAAGAAACTCTCAGGATGTATCTTAACGTCACTTAAGGAGAACATATTAGACAGTAGCACCCAGGAAGTAAAAGCAAACTAGAGGAAGTTAACCTCATTAGTATTTATCTTTGAAAATCACAGCAGGAGGTCTCTGGAGCAAAACTGGGGACACTTCCATGTGTCAGATTTTTACAAACAGGAAACATTTTAGATACATGTGATTTTAACTATCAACTTATTTTTAGACTGCAAAATAGAAAGAAGCAGAAAATGATCTCAAAAACTCTATGTCCTTGTGTGTGTAACCCAGACTCACGTAAATAACCTTCCCATTGTCAAACTGTACTATTTTTATGAGTTTATCATATAAATTTTATGCTATCGAGATACATAACTCTAGTGAAGTTACTATATTAAAAGTATTCACCATCAGAAATGGATAAATTATTTTCTATGCAAATGTAACAGTTTTTAAAGCACACTCAAATACAGGAGGAATTCAGACAGAGGTGTTTGAAAGGAGAGTAGAGATGTCTGAGCTGAAAGATTGAGTGTTTGTATCTGTCTACTAGTGATCTGAAGGTTTCCTGAAGCCCAGGATCTCAGGAAATTTCTAAGAGTAAGTATAAACTGATTTTGAAGATATGCGATCAAAGGGATAAGCATTTTCAAGAAAAACGGGTTTTCATTTAGTATTCAGAACTGCTACCACCTTTAAATACTTCCACATGATTTTAAAGCATGACAGGCAAATATGAAAAGAAAAGAAAGTAATTAGTGGTTCTTAGCCCCTATTTTAAAACTCATAATCAGGTAAGTAAGTGAGCTAATGGGAAAGAGATCTAAGTAATATCCAAGTTAGGAAGTTTAATTCCCAATAGAATTAAAGTTCTGGTCCCCAGTATCTGAGAAGACTGTCCAAAGGCTATTAGTTTAAGTAAATAACATAAGAACCTCACGATACTGATATTTTCAAGAGTAAGCATTTGAAAACAGATGATATTCAAATTAAGAGTCTGGTTGTAGCCCTGGTGGCGCAGTGGTTAAGAGCTCGGCTACTAACCAAAACGTCAGCAGTTTGAATCCACCAGCGGACCCCTGGAAACTCTATGAGGCAGTTCTACTCTGTCCTATAAGGTCGCTATGAGGTCGCTATGAGTCGGAATCCACTCAAGGGCAACGTGTGTGTGTGTGTGTGTGTGTGTGTGTGTGTGTGTGTGTAAATTCCAAGTAATGTGTGGAGCAGAAAAAAATCAAATACTATTTCTTCTATTCTTAAGATTATTTTATTGTAAAAATATAAAGCAGTTACACAGCAGTCTGTTGTAAAATCAGTGCTGTATGTAATCGATATAATTTCAAGAGAAAAAAAAATAAAGTTGATCAATTCCAAGCTGGAATACATATAAAGCCATGATGGTGCTCAAGTTATTTTTGGAAGGCCACTGATGCATTAAATGTGCTTTTCCTACAATGAATTCATAAAAATACAAATGTCTGATGGATCACCTTTTTTTTCTTCTTGTATAATTACAGCCATGATTTTATTTAATAGGCCATGAGGTAATATGTAAACACACCAATTTCACCAAGATTTTTTTTCTTACCAAATAAAATCGTATTTCTGCTAGAAACTTTCCTTCTAGTCATTTTAAATGCATAATCCAACTTACTATCAAAAGCAAACATGTATTTCTTTTAAATGATTGTTAAGCCCTAACTTCCATTTTCCCCTAATTACCCTAGGGGAAACTATTAAAAGTATTAAAAGTTATCATTAGGTTATTTGCTGTAGAAACCTAGATTACCATTTTAAAGACATGAGCTTGCATTTGCATATCTAGCACAGGAGAATCTTCTATCCAGCGATAAGAATGTTGCAGATAAGAATGTTGCATGTGTGAACACCATGCTTTGCTTCATGGACGGCGAGCTTCTTGGCACGTCCCCCAGACCCTCACAGGTTAGCCTTCTCCCTTGCAGCCAAGTGAGACTCATGCTGCACAAAGGTGTGGATTGAGTTCTGTTTTAAAAGAGCAAAACCAGCAGGTTAGTTAACTCACTCGACAGCAGCAACTTGGTATTTATCTTAGCTTTAATTTGTGTTTGAATGAAAATATAATTCAGACTTCGTTCACCTTTAACTGTGTCATATGGTCCAGAGCTAAACGAAGAGTATGTGTTTTGCAGGTGAGTTCTTTTTATCTCAAATGAGTTTCTGAACAGCTGTTTAAGAAATCTAGAAGCTGCAGATAAATGCCCTGAGGAGAATAATGCTCAAAGGAAACCATGCTTGATCTAACCCCAGGCACACTCAGTTCTGCCACAGCCAAGCAGCTCCGGGCTCACCTTAGGTTTCTCAGCGTTGTATTTGTCCAAAAGTGCCTGGATGCTGTCTCCATAGTCAGGGTGGACATCATGGAAGTTCTTGACCTGAAACCCGATGAAAATAAATGTCACCATCACCCCAAACCCCTACTATACCACTCCCCAGTGTCTCTGTTTCACAGTGTTTATTAGACAGGGAAGGAAGGAAGTTTCAGCGGGAGGTAGTACCAGGCAGCGTTGGACAACACAGGCCCTGGAGTAAGCTGCCATCAGAAATATTCTGGCACCTCAGCTCTAAGTGCAGCCTGACTTCTGGAAGCAGCTCTGTTCTTGCCCCCCAAAACACACAAGTTCCTTGTTTGCTTCTGAAGGAGGGTCAGGAGTTGTGACATCAAGCCTTTAGGCAAGCTTCAAACTACAAAAATGTTAGCCGTATTTCTCATCATCTAAAGTTTAAGCAGCAACATCATGATAAACAGCAAAAAGATTGAAGTTATTTTAGTCAGATCCACAACCAACACCCATGGAATCAGCAGTCAAGAAATCACAAGAAGCACTGCATTGGGCAAATCTGCTGCAAAAGACCTCTTTCAAGTGTTGAAAAGCAAAGATGTCACCTTGAAGACTAAGGTGCGCCTGACCCAAGCCACGGTGTTTTCAATTGCCTCAGATGTATGTGAAAGCTGGATGACAAATAAGACTGAAGAACTGCAACCTTTGGATTGTGGTGTTGGCGAAGAATACTGAATATACCACGGACTGCCAAAAGAACGAACAAATCTGTCTTGGAAGAAGTACAACCAGAATGCTCCTTAGAAGCAAGGATATCAAGACTACATCTCACATGCTTTGGACATGTTATCAGGAGGGATCAGTCCCTGGAGAAGGATAGCGTGCTTGGTAAAGTGGAGGGTCAGCGAGAAAGAGGAAGACCTTCAACGAGATGGACTGACACAACGGCTGCAACAATGGGCTCAAGCATAACAATGATTGTGACGACGGCGCAGGACAGGGCAGTGTCATGTTCTGATGTACACAGGGTTGCTATGAGTCGGAACCAACTCGACGGCACCTAATAACAATAAACTTTAAGCAAAACTGTGGTAGGACCCACATTCTGATACTAGACACTTACTAGTAACAGAATTTAGCTGCAGTCAAATGAGAGAACACAGGAAAGAATTCACCCTGTCCACTATTACACATTAGACAAAGAGCTAAGTAAGGATCAATGGACATGCCACATCGTATAAAACATGAAGAGGAAATAATCAGAGATTGATTGAGGAGTTACTACTATTTTTTTTTTAAGTCCCCTTAACCAGTCACCATGGAGTTTACCCTGATTCATGGCGACCCCATGTGTTTCATAACAGAACTGTACTTCATAGGGTTTTCACGGCTGTGATCTTTCCGACGTAGAACTCCACGTCTTTCTTCCGAGGCGCCTCTAGGTGGATTCAAACTGTCAACCTTTCAGTTAGTAGCCAAGCACTTAACTGTCTGCCCAACCCAGGGACTCTCAAGCAAAACAGAAATGTCACTTTTCCTTTTAGGAGTTCCCCCACACAGCTGCACTATCTTCTCTTGCCAGCAGATGTCACCCTTTAGCTTACAAAGACTCACCGCTTTCTTCTGGATGAAAAGCTGGGTGTCTTTCAGATGGCCTGCAATGTTCTCACACAGGCGCTTCCTCTCCTCTTCATTCAGCACATTCTTATAGAATGCTCGCACCTGCTCATTGAGGACAGAGAGAGTGCAGAGAACCGAATAATCAGTTTACCACAAACAAAACTCACCTAGCATGCCACATTTGAAATGATCAAAAACTTTTTAAAATTTAAAAATAATTTTAAATTATAGTTGAAACTGTTACCTGTGTTGAGTTCCTCACTATTAGTTTTAAGCAAAATGGGAAGAATCCAGTTGTTGATAATAGCTAACAACTGCTTTTTAAAAATGTCCTTTTTAGTCAACTATTTATAAATTCCTTACAAACAGAAGGCTGTATAAAACCCGTTGCCATCGAGTCAATTCCAACTCAAGATAATTGAGCTCCATAGGGTTTCTTGGCAATAATCTTTACGGAAGTAGATGGCGAGCCATTCTCTTATGGCACTACTAGGTGGCAGTACAGCCTGCAACTAAAAACACCAACCCCTGAGCACAGCACAGGAGAGACTCACAATTTCTCATGACTGATTGCTTCCATGAGAGACCACATGCTTCCAAGCTGCACGCTCAGCCTGGTGGGGAGTTTTTCCAATGGGATGCCCTTTCCTGGTTCTCACCATTATGCCAAGAGCCCCGTTCTAGCTCTCTGCCGTACTCGAAGCCTGTGGCCTCAACACCCAACCCCTTGGAGGCACAAAACCCTAATAAAGTGTACATGAAGCCTGGTTACCCCCCTGAGGTATGCACCTTCAATGTTCACCCACTGCTGTGATTCCTTTTTCATTTCTGGGACATGCAGATCGAATGTTGTTGTTTTTCAGCTCAGCTACATTACTAAAAACACTTTTTAAATCCAGCATCACTATGTGTGTTAGAAGTAGAAGGCAGGCCTCCTGTGTCATCTCAGTCTACCATCTTGAACTGAAAGGAATTTGGTTCTGCCGTTCCAGTAGTGTGCTGAAGTCAGCTTATGCCAGCTCATGAGAGCTGCTTGTCAAATGTTGGGCAATTTCATGAGCCAGGTATTAAAGACAGCCATTAATAAAAATTATATAAACTTACAAACAAATACATTATAATACAAAGGTAACAAGTACTCAAAATGCATCACTTTCTAATTAATTTACTATATATTAACCTATGTTCTTGAGGTTATTTGTGTCTACTATATCCATATGGTGCAAACACTAGTGTGATACTAAGCATCCCTTCCCAACTCCAAAGATTCAGTGACATCATGTTAATATCTGGAAATCAGCCTGGGGGGGAATATTTCCACCATGAAAATCAACAAACATCATAATCAGAGTTTTTCTCCCAAGGGCCAGTTGTTAAATATTTACCAACACACCACCAAATAAAACCCATATAAAATACTTGCCCTTTCAGAGATTTGGTTAACTTACAGTTCTTAAGAGGTGGAAAAAAAACAAAAAAAAACCCATATATATACACAAAGATAAACTGTGTACCTATTTCAACCTGTGGCATAAGAAGATACAATGGAAAAACAGTCAATCCTCATTATTCTCAGATTCTGTATTTGCGAATTCACCTACTCACTAAAATGTATTTGTAATGGCAAAACCAATGCTCACTACGCTTCCACAGCCATTTGCAGACATGTGCAGAGTGGCAAAAAAAATGAGTCCCCCAGCGTGCATGCCCCTAGATGTGGCGGAACAAGGCAATAGTCTGCCTTTTTGTTTCAGCTCTCATACTCTAAGCAAGTGTCCTTTTCACGGTCTATTTAGTGCCACATTTTTCTCATTTTTGTGCTTTTGTTGGTGATTTCACTATTTAAAAAGGCCCCCAAGCAGAGTGCTCAAGTGCTGTCTGGTATTCCTACGCGCAAGAAGGCTGTGATGTGCTTTATGGGGAAAATGTGTGTTAGATAAGCTCTGTCAGGCTGGAGTCATAGTGCCGCTGGCCATGAGTTCAATGCTGATGAATCCACAACATAGATTACATAAAGCATCTTTAAACAGAAACACACATAAAACAAGGTTATGTATTGATCGTTTGACAAAAATGTCATGACCAGAGACTCGCAGGAACCTAACCCTGTATTTCCCCTAGGAGCCATGGTTCCATGTTCACTAATTCAATGTGTGCACAACCATACAGAGCATAATTACTGCGAATAATGAGAATCGTCTGTAACACACGGCTCTAACTTCCGCACTCACTACTGTTCAGGTAAAGAGCAGGTTAAGACTTTGACCCTGAAGAAGTCTCCAGTGATCTGGTTTGCTTATTCTTATGCCTGCCTAACTACCGGCTATATATAGCTCAGTCACTCACTGCAGGAGAGCATGGACTCCACAAATGTGACAGCTGTTCTGTTAACCAGATAAGGTTTCTGACCCACTTTATCAGCTCCAAACTTTAACCATAGATCCACACCCCAGAAACCCCATCCCCCACCGCCACAGCCCCTCCCAATCACTATCCCCTCTCTCCTCACCAAAGGTAATTTTTTTGTTTTACTTCTAATATCATAAATGTGTTTCGCCTTTTATAAATTTACATAAATTATATCATATGATCTATAATTCTTGTGTCTGGCTTTTTTGCTCAATGTTGTGTTGATGAGATTCATCTATGTTGTCGCTTGTTGCAACAGTTCATTAATTTTCCTTGCTGTACACTGTGCAAATATACCACTATTTATTTATTCATTCTACTGTTAAGGGGTTTTTGGGTAATATCTGGCTTAGTTCCAGTTTTTTGGAAATGATGAAGAATTTTGTATATGTGTTCTGGTGCTCAATACATACACATTTCTGTTGGGTTCATACTTCAGAGTGGACTTGCTAGGTCAGAAAACATGCATATGTTCAACTTTAACAGGTATTGACAGTTTTGCAAAACAGCTTAATTGACTGACATTCATGAGAGTTAGACTTGTTCTTCATTCACACATGGTATGGTCAGTATTTTTAATTCTAGCTATTACGGTAGATATGCAGTGGTATCTCTTTGTGATTTTATTTTGCATTTCCCTGATGACTACAAGGTAAAGTACCTTTCCGTGTGTTTTTCAGCCACCTGGATATTCTCTTTGATGAAGTGTCAATGTAAGTCTTTTGCCTATTTTTCTATTCAGTTGTCTGTCTTTTTATTATTGCTATTTATATATCCTGTAGATGAGTCCTTTGTTAGTTAACTGAACTGGAAATATACTCTCCCAGTCTGTGGCTTGTCTTTTCAATCTTTTAATGGTGTCTCATAATGAAAAGAAGTTGTTTTTCTCCCCCTCTCCATGAGTTGATCTTGATAATATCTACTATTTTCCAATTCACTATTCCTTCAGCTGTATTAAATCTCCTTTAAAACCCAACTACCAGTTGTCATTTCAGCTCATAGAGACCCTACATGTGTCAGAGTAGAACTGTGCTCCACTGGGTTTTCAATGACTGATTTTTCAGAAGCAGATTCCCAGGCCTTTCTTCCAAGGCATCGCTCGGTAGACTCGAACTGCCAACCTTTTGGTTAGCAGCTGAGCACATTAACCACTTGCAACGCTCAGGGATTCTGTCTACTGACTTATTAATTTCAGTTGTTGCATTTTCCAGTTTAGTATGTCCATTCAATTCCTTTATTTTTATAAAATTCTCTTATTAAATTATCCCAGTTATCATTTATCCTAGTTATTTTAAAGCCTGTAGCTGACAATCCCATTGCTGGGATCTCTAAAAGGTCTACTTCTAGTGTCAGTTTTGTTTTGTGTTTTTTTTCCCTCTTGGTTTTCAGTTATTAGGTCTTACGTGCTGGGTATGTCTGATAATTGATTATTGAATGCTGGACATTCATGTATACAACACTGTAGAGATAAATGTGAGGCTCTATTTTCCTCCAAAAAATAATTGTTTCTGGCAGGTAGTTAGGATGGAGGGAGACCATCTTAATTCCATCTGAGATTGAGCTAAAACTGGTTTTCAATTTTTGTGAGGGCAAGTTTATTTCAAGTTTGCCCTTATTCCTAGGAATGGTTCTTCAGGGATTCCAACTGAAAGCCTCGGGTGGTAACTAGACCCTCCTCCTTAGCAGACCCTGAATTCCAATTGTGTTCCTTCCTCCAGACCCTTAAGGCTGCTATAAGCTCTGCTCAGCATCTTGGCCAATGCTTAAGAATTGATAAATACGTCATGAGGGAAGGGCACCAAATGTCAAGCTCACCTCTCTGCACTTCCTTTGTGTCTGAGATCTTGACCCCTCAAATCCTCGTGACTTTGTTAGCCCTCCAAAGCCTTTAAACAGATGCTTTTCATATTTTACCTAGCTTTCTAACAGTGTTCATGAGAAGACAGGTCTGACACAGGCTAGTCTGCCATAGCCAGACGTGGAGGACAAGTGAATCATTTTTAAGAGTACAAACCTGAACCTTCTCACTATTTCCCATTCAGCTCTTATAGTCACAGAAGTATGCTGTATCATGACTGCTTAAAAACATGAGCTCTATATGGTGTCACGAAAATCTCTCAAAAAAATAAAAATGACCCTGTAGTAAATTTTAATGTATAAGCAATAGCATCATGGTCTAAATTAATTCTTGCAGGGCTGTATGAGCTAGTTTAACCCTGTTTAGGCCCCATGAAGGCAAAATTCTTCGAATGTTACCTGAGTGACGTTGTCCTCATCAGCACTGTTGAAGCGCTGCACATCCCCAGAACACGAGGTGCTGTGCTCCAGGGCTGAACGCTGTTGTTCTGGAGCACTGAAGCTGTTGGGGTAGTAATTCGGAGCACCACCTGTAAAGGAAGAACCCAGAGAGTCACTTAAAAACAAACCAAACCCACTGCCGCTGAGTCGATTCCGACTCATAGCAACACTATAGGACAGAGTAAAACTGCCCCATAGGGTTTCCAAGGAGCAGTTGGTGGAGTTGAACTGCTGACCTTCTGGTTAGCAGCCAAATGCTTAACCACTGCGCCACCACAGCTCCACTTACGGAGCTAAAAAATGAGGCAGGTCTACAATTACTCAACGTAATAAGAAATAAATACAAGTGGCAATCACATACACACATCATACCACATGTATGTATATATAAATATACATATAAATATACACACATACATACCATATGCACACACACATATGTCCCTGGGTGGTGCAAACAATCAAGTGCTCACCTATTAGCCAAAAGGTTGGTGGTTCAAACCCACCCAGAGGTGCCTCAGAAGACAGGCCTGGTGAGCTCCTTCGGAAGAGTCACAGCCTTGGCAACTCTACAAAGCAGTTCTATGCTGCACACACGGAATCACCGTGAGTCGGGACTGACTTGGTAGCAACTAACAACAACCACCGCCACAAAGCAACTAAAAAGGATGTTTCTAAATCTGGTACTTCTAGTATATCAGCTCTCATTTATCTGGGCTAATAGAAAAAGTGACAAATACAACCAATATTCTTATTATGACTTCTGGAATAAATTATACGTATTTTTTATTTTGGCATATCTATTTTCCTAACTATACTTTGCTGAAACTGATACTAACAATAGCGTCAGTTATCTGCATGACCCGAAGGAGTGGCCTAGAAACACAGTAAGTGGTTTGAGCAAACCAGTCTGGGGTGGAATTTTACCAAGCTCACTGCTAGAACAGATCACCCAAAAATGGATAATGAAGAGGTGCCCATACATCACACTAATCTAAAGGCACCAAGTGTGTGTGTAGGGGGAGGGAGGACGTCATACTATTAGGGAGCCTCATTATTAACCCAAGAAAGTAGTTCTAGGTCAGACACATCCACATGAAAAGCAAAATGCTCCCATAACCCTGCCACCACAGTGTTTTCTGCATTAAGCATTAGCTCTGAAGTGTGTCTGAGTAATTTAAAAATTCTATGTCCAGATAAGCTCTGAACTTTACTCAAAGTGGGAGTTTTCTTTGAAGTCAGTGACTACTGAGACACTAACACTGAAACAAGCTCTTTCGTTGAGCTTCAAGAACACAGCCCAAATGCTCTACATTTAAAATTAGGCAAAGGGTGTGTCAAAATACCTCATTAGGTCATTTTTTTCCGCACGTACACCACTATAATGGTAAACAAGGATTGAGCAATGACTTATTAATGAAGTTCCAAAATATATATGAACTTCTTTGCTACAGTCAGCTTCAAAAACAAAGGGACTGAGGACTGTGAATGAAAAAAAGAACAGAAGAATAAAAAGTGAAGGTAAAATGCAGAAGTCAGACACAGGTAGTATCAACTGGGCAACAACACGCCCATGCTTCTGTAAACCTCAGAGAGCAGAAATACTGCAACCACCCGATGTAATTACCAAGCATGTAAACGTGTTAAATACGTGGAGAAGGCTTAGTGATAATGGTGACAAAAGCAAGGTTCAAAATTATACACACGAAGTGATCTGAAGTGTATAAAAAATATTCACAGAAAAGACTGGCAAGAAATACAGCAAAATTAACAGTTGTGGCCTTTGGGTGTAGGGACTATAAGTGGGTTTTTCTTCTCCCTTCTCTTTTTCTCCCTATATTTTCCAAATTTCCTTTAGGACACGTGATTATTTTTACCATAGGAAAATAAACTTTGTTTGAATATGCTGTTGTTGTTAGGTGCCATCAAGTCAGTTCTGATTCAGAACGACCCTATGTACAACAGAACAAAACACTGCCCAGTCCTGTGCCACCCTCACAATCGTTGTTATGCTTGAGCCCACTGTTGCAGCCACTGTGTCAATTCATCTCACTGACGGTCTTCCTCTTTTTCGCTGACCCTCTACTTTACCAAGCATGATATCCTTCTCCAGAGACTGATCCTCCTGACATGTCCAAAGTATGTGAGACAGTCTTGTCATCCTTGTTTCTAAGGAGCATTCTGGTTGTACTTCTTCCAAGACAGCTTTGTTTGTTCTTTTGGCAGTCCATGGTATATTCAATATCCTTCTTCAACACAATTCAAAGGCGTCAGTTCTTCTTCGGTCTTCCTTATTCATTGTCCAGCTTTCAAATGCGTAGGAGGCAAGTGAAAACACCATGGCTTGGGTCAGGCACACCTTAGTTTTCAAGGTGACATCTTTGCTTTTGAACACTTGAAAGAGGTCTTTTGCAGCAAATTTGCCCAATGTAATGCATCATTTGATTTCTTGACTGCTGCTTCCACGGGTGTTGACTGTGGATCCAAGTAAAATGAAATCCTTAACAACTTCAATCTTTTCTCCATTTATCATGATGTTGCTTATTGGTCCAGCTGTGAGGATTTCTGTTTTCTTTATGTTGAGGTGTAATCCATACTGAAGGCTGTGGTCTTTGATCTTCATCAGTAAATGTTTCAAGTACTCTTCACTTTCAGGAAGCAAGGTTGTGTCATCTGCATAACACAGGTTGTTAAATGAGTCTTCCTCCAATCCTGATGCCCCATTCTTCTTCATATAGTCCAGCTTCTTGGATTATTTGCTCAGCATACAGATTGAACAGGTATGGTGAAAGGATACAACCCTGACACACACCTTTCCTGACTTTAAACCAGGCAGTATCCCCTTGTTCTGTTCAAATAACTGCCTCTTGGTCTAAGTACAGATTCCTCATGAGCACAATTAAGTGTTCTGGCACTCCCATTCTTTGCAATGTTATCCTTAATTTGTTATGATTCACACAGTCGAACGCCTTTGCATAGTCAATAAAACACAGACAAACATCTTTCTGGTATTCTCTGCTTTCAGCCAGGATCCATCTGACATCAGCAATGATATCCCTGATTCCACGTCCTCTTCTGAATCTGGCTTAGATTTCTGGTAGTTCCCTGTCAATATACTGCTGCAGCCACTTTAAATGATCTTTAGCAAAATTTTACTTACATGTGATATTAATGGTATTGTGTGATAATTTCTGCATTCGGTGGGAATTGTTTGAATATGGCTATAGCTATACATATAAATCATCAGTAAAATTTCTCAAAGGATCAATGTAAGCAGCCTATTACTGAAAGACATGGGCCCTAAATATGGAAATCGAAAAAGAAAACTAAGATCTACATTAAGGAGTGGTATATTAAAAGGAAAAAACATTAATCAAGTATTCTGTTTGGCTAACGCAAATGAGTAATTAGAAACAGAAGCTGTTTATACATGGCAACAAAATAAATTTATAAATTTGATAAATGAGCTACAAAAAACAGTAGAGTCCCATCTCAGCAGTTAATTTATATAAATTCAATTACAAGGATTTAGCAAAAAAAGGTGGGAGAGGGGAAAGAATCCCTTTATTACTCCATCTCTCCCCTCCCTGCTTCCTCTCCTCCAAGTTCTAACCAGACTTGCTCCTTCAAGACTGGAGTGGAATTGCAAAGAGAAACAAAAGACATGAGCTCTTGGCTTTTGCACTTTCTTCTGCACTTAGACAGTCCTAGTGATTTAAGACTTAAGAGTGATTTAGGGAATTTTTGTGAAGAGTCTTTAAAACTTAACCCCTAAGTTGGATGCTGGAATCCCTGGAAGGTGCAAACAGTTGATGCACTCAACTGCTAACCAAAAGGTTAGAGGTTCAAATCCACTCAGAGATGCCTCGGAAGAAAGGCCTGGCGATCTACTTCTAAAAAATTCAACCACTGAAAACCCTGTGCAGAGCAGTTCTACTCTGACACACGTGAGGTCACCATGAGCTGGAGTTGGCAATTGGTTTAAGTTGGATGCTACTCGACTATAGATAGTGTGAAAGCTCATTCTCCCTGTCTTGGACTGCAAATGAAACCTGAGGTGGGAATTCTCAACAAAATAGTTAAGATTGGTAAAAGCATGAAAAGTCCTCAGGCAGTTTAAACCTTCATTGCTGGGCAAAAATACACAGTTGCCTGGAGTGCCTGTGGAGACCTTCTCAGAGCACAAGGCGAGGGGGTCCTGTGGGGCCCAGTTTGCAAACCACTGGCCTGGTGTCCCATCACATCCACTCTGGCATCTCCCCTTGCAGGACCTACCTTGGTTGTCGAGCATGCACATGGGACCATCACGCTGATAGTTGGCCACTCGAGTACGATAGGGACAGTTCACAGGTATCTGAAGGTAGTTGGGGCCCAGGCGGTGGCGGTGAGTGTCAGGATAGGCAAAAAGACGGCCCTACAGTTATAAATGAAACAGGCATTGACCATCTGCAGCAACATATAAAATAGGAATGGTCTATAAACTTCATTCCAAAATTTAAAGTACAAAGCACTTGGTATATGGTTACCACAAAACCTTGCCTAACCCCCCACTAAAGTCTCTTCTCTCTTATGAAATGAGTTCACTCTAACTGAACAGTCTTTAATCTTCCATGCCATAAAGTCAAACAACTATAAATCTTCACATCTGTTCTAGATAAGAACTCCTCTTCTCCTCCCCCTCAAAATAACAAGTTAGTGCCTTGTTTTATATTATTTCCTATTCCCAAGGATGCATTACATTGTAAATTCACTAGAACGCAACCAACTGGAATCCTGAATTAATTCCACTCCACTCCGCCACCTTCAGCCATTTGTTCTTAACAAAAACAAGCAAATTAGCACAAAATCAACTGTACAGGAAATTACTCAAGAAAGGACCTCCCATTTTCATCTTGAATTATCTCAGATACAGTGTGAGCTTTGAAACTTTTTAGTTATAAACAAAGCACTACACAATTTATTGCTTTTAAGCTAAGGTTTTCTAAGCTGAGGTTCAAAATGACGATAATGATAGGCTACGGTTTACAATGATGGTCCTACAATGCCAGAGGGTCCTGAATCAAAGATTCAATTATGTTACATACCTACCAAGGCAAGATGATAAGCATCTTGAAATTTCAGTTACTACAGACACAAAAAGTTTTATGATTAACTCTGCGTTAATATTACTACCCAATTGCTAAGTATTCTCATTATCCAAAGCTCTACTCTACGAGCCTTTGTTTTTTAAATTGTGCTTCAAGTGAAAGTTTACAGAGCAAATTAGTTTCTCATTAAACCATTAATACACATTATTTTGTGACACTGGTTGTCAACCCTGCGACGTGTCAACACTCTCCCCTTCTCGACCTTAGGTTCCCCATTTCCATTCGTCCAGCTTTCCTGTTCCTTCTTGCCTTCTTGTCCTTGCCCCCAGGTTGGAGTGCCCATTTACTCTTGTATACATGGTTGAGCTACGTGTATTATTGTTTGTTTTATGGGTCTGTCTAATCTTTGGCTGAAGGGTGAACCTCAGGAGGGACTTCAGTACAGAGTTAAAAGGGTGTCCAGGGGCCATACTCTTACGGTTTCTCCAGTTTCTGTTAGACCAGTAAGTCTGTTCTTTTTGTGTGAATTTGAATTTTTTTTTTTAATTTTTATTTTTTATTATAATTTAGATGAAGGTTTACAGAGCGAACTAGTTTCTCATTAAACAATTAATACACATATTGTTTTGTGACATTGGTTGCCAGCCCCAAGACATTTCAACACTCTCCCCTTCTCAACCCTGAGATCCTCATTACCAGCTTTCCTGTCCCCTTCTGCCTTCTCGTCCTTGCCCCTGAGCTGATATGCTCATTTAGTCTTGTTTTGTTTTATGCGCCTGTCTAATGTTTGGCTGACGGGTGAACCTCAGGAGCGACTTCATTACTGAGCTATAAGGGTGTCCATGGGCCATACTCTTAGGATTTCTCCAGTCTCTGTCAGACCAGTAAGTTTGGTCTTTTTGTGTGTGTGTATGTGTGAGTTAGGATTTTGTTCTACATTTTTCTCCAGCTCTGTCCGGGACCCTCTATTGTGATCCCTGTCAGGGCACCATCTAGTTGTGCTGGACTCAGTCTGGTGGAAGCTATGGTAATTGTGGTCCATTAGTCCTTTGGACTCATATTTCCCTTGTGTCTTTGGTTTTCTTCATTCTCTCTTGCTCTATGAGCCGTTTTTTGTTCACTGACTTTATCATTGGCCTTGAATCTTAAACAGTATGCCTATGTAAACTAAAAACGAAGCAAACGGGGCAACCTGTGCAGTATTTTGTACCAAATCACTCATACCAACTTGCTTAATCCAGTCCCACCGTTCTGTCAATAGTCTACTCTTGGCTGATTGACACCACCTCCCACAGTCATTTCTAACAGTCTTAAGCTAATATCTAGATGATTGGTTGTGAGCCATGACTAAGACCTACCTCCAGCTTAGAAGCTGGTTGCCTCCTTTGGCTCAAAATCAGCTAAGCTGGGCTTTAACTCTACCAACAGGATAGATAATACAATCAGGCCATTCACAGCCCCTGGGATGTAGCCTCTATCATGTAATTCTATTCTTGTGTCACCTTATGTTTATCAAGCAACTAACTCGAGACCACAGTGTCAAGGTTGGGAAATGGGCGCAGTGAAAACATAACCTTGACACCAAGTTGAGTCTAGGCCTTACCCAAGGCCCTGTGCCTGAACTCCTCTGCGGGGCCTGGTGAGAAAGCAGAACAAAGCTCCCATATACAAGTTACCAACCCAACCTCTTCTCCGACTCCTGGTGAAGAAAGGATAAACCTGTGCCATCAAGGTACTAAACGGACAGTCTCTCTGTGACTAACAGGTTACCCACCCTTGCATTATACTACTCTGTCCATTTCACTGTGGTCTGGCTTATCACTTTGGATAACAAAGTCTTACAATTTATTAATGTAACCTTGCTGAAAAGTAACTGAGAACATTGTTTATTAGTATACCAAACGCCACCACACAAGCTAAGGCACTCATAAACTCTCAGTAGAAGTAATTTCAAAGTTCTCTTGACTAGCTCTCTACTTCCGGTCCCTCCTCCAACAAGACATCCTACATACTCCTGCCAACACATGAATCTTCTTAAGGCCCTGCTCAGACTATATCTCTTACCTACGAAAAAAAATATAAATGATCCACTGATCTCCAAATGGCTAAATGAGTGCAACAGTCCTTCCCCAGCTGTATGGCTCCTAAAAAGCTCCATGGTATTAGAATTCACAGCTAAATGACCTAAGACATTATGGGGCAAACTAGGCCAGGAACTGGTATCTTGTCTGAATTTACTAAAGCTCTTTCATGTACTTTTTTAAAACTCACTTAAAAAAAAAACCATAAAAAAAGAATACTAAATTTAAAATATATATATATATTTGTCAAAAGTGAAATGATTATATGTTTAATTTCCATTTATCATCCTTTTTAAGGATACCGTTTCAATGAGATGCTTTACACATTTGTTTTCTTTTGTTGTAGAGAATATGAACTTGTTAGGAGGTCCTTTTCCCTCCATCCAAATTGGCCTAGTCCTCCATTCAAATCTTCAAAGTCAGTGGTGCTGACTGCCTCCAAGTCTCACTGAGGTCCCCAAGACCCAGAGTGGCCCGGATTCTTCTAAAAAGACTTTGAGTGACCTTATATTTCTCAACCTGTTCCTTCAATACCCAGGGTTTCGTGCCCTGACAAATCCCAGTAGCCACTCCTTCACACAGTTCAGCTCCTTTCCAACCACCAGGCAGGGGAGGTTCAGGATCCAGGGATACACTGCCTTGGCTTCCTCTATGCTCCAGTTTCAGCTGCAAGCACTTCTGCTTAGCCTTACCTTTTCTACTCCCAACCACTAGTTCCCTCTTTTTCTATTTATCACCAACAGGAGGGATTCTAAATGATATATACCAGACCACATTTCTCAAAACTGAAGGAAACTTTTATTTTTCCCTGAAAGGACAATTGTGCAAACTTCTCACTCAAGAATTTAAGGTCCCCTCTGACATTCGTCCACTGTACCTGTCCAAACTTCTAATTCAGAAAAGAGTAACAGTCTACAGTTTAAACCTGTTCCCCTCTTTGTGCCTGTACTTTTGTTATTCCCTCACTGAGATGCATTCTGCTCTATTATACCTCTGTTGAAAATCAAAATTGTATCCACTCTTCAAAACCCATCTCAAACGCTACCTCACTCACGGAACTTTGTCATCCTCCAAAGAGACAAGATTTCACTTTCTGATTCTCCATGACATTCTGCCTACCTTATAGTTAGTTATCTTGTGTTTTTACATCCCTTATAACACCTGGGATACGCTATCACACACAGTAGATAGAAACTCAATTCACATTAGTTAAACTGAACTAGAAACTAATGAAAAACCTACTTTCTATAAAAACCTCAGATGTTCCCAATGTCAGAGTAAAAAAGTTATTAAAACAAAGGAATCTTAGCTTGTCCTCCATGGAAGCTGACACCTGAACAGGAATCAGATCCTTATATAAGAAGCAACCATCAGTCACTGTGGTCTGATCAAGGGCATGATCTTCAACCTTTGTTCCATGGTCACGGTCATACAAAAGATTGATTTATTCAATAATTATTAAACCAGTTATTTTCCTACTGGTTTCTGGTCTAAAGAAGAATTTTTCACTCTTTGTACTCTTGAAATTAAGTGGAAAAGTTTCTCCCTGACTAATGACCTCTTTAAAGTATTAAAACAAAGACATGACTTTAATGACTAAGGCATGCCTGACCCAAGCCATGGTGTTTTCAATCGCCTCACATGCATGCGAAAGCTGAACGATGAATAAGGAAGACTGAAGAACCGATGCCTTTGAATTATGGTGTTAGCGAAGAATACTGAATATACTATGGACTTCCAAAAGAAGAAACAAATCTGTCCTAGAAGAAGTACAGCCAGAATGCTCCTTGGAAGCAAGGATGGCAAGACTTCGTCTCACATACTTTGGACATGTCATCAGGAGGGACCAGTCCTGGAGAAGGACATCATACTTGGTAAAGTAGAGGGGTGAATGAAAGAGAGGAAGACTCTCAACGAGATGGACTGACACAGTGGCTGCAACCATCGGCTCAAGCATAACAACAATTATGAGGACGGCCCAGGACCAGGCAGTGTTTTGATCTGTTGTACATGGGGTCACTATGAGTTGGAACCAACTCAACAGCACCTCACAACGACAACAACTCTTGAAAAAGCTTATTGGAAAGTGATGTAAAACATAACGAATGCCTAAGAACTGAATGTCTTCTACCACTGGCAACATAAATTTAGTTCATAAAAATCACCTCCACACTGAGCTTCTGTTAAAGGTGATGGAAAAGTTTAGAAACAGATAGTGGTGATGGTTGCATAACATGATGAAGGTAATTAATGTCATTGAATCTTACATGCAAAAAATGTTGAAATGGCATAAAAAAAAATTTTTTTTTTATTGTACTTTAGATGAAGGTCTACAGAACAAACTAGCGTCTCATTAAACAATTAGTACACATATTGTTTTATGACATTGGTAACAACCCCACGACATGTCAACGCTCTCCTTTCTCAACCTTGGGTTCCCTATTACCAGCTTTCCTGTCCCCTCTTGCCTTCTAGTCCTTGCCCCTGGCCTGGTGTGCCCTTTAGTCTTGTTTTGTTTCATGGGCCTGTCTGATCTTTGGATGAAGGGTGAACCTCAGTAGTGACTTTATTACTGAGTTAAAAGGGTGTCCGGGGACCACAGTCTCAGGGTTTCTCCAGTCTCTGTCAGGCCAGTAAGTCTGGTCTTTTTTTGTGAGTTAGAATTTCATTCTACATTTTTCTCCAGCTCTGTCTGGGACCCTCTATTGTGATCCCTGTCAGAGCAGTCAGTGGTGGTAACTGGGCACCATTTAGAAATGGCAAATGTTTTGTTCTACTTATGCTTACTACAATTTAAAAAAAAAAAAATTATCTCCAGATCTCTTTTTACAGATGGAGAAAATCAAGGATTCCATGGAAGAGGACATGAATAAAGTTATCCTGACCGAGGTTATAATCAATTAATTATATTCCCTCCCAAGAGTCACAGACTCAACAAATAATGCTATACTCTACAAATACCTGAAGCATTTCTAATATACCTATGGAATTTGGTTTGTTCTTGTTTTATTCAAGTAATACCCATTCAAGGATGGTTTCATCTAACTAAGTCCCACAAGGAACTAAGACCCAGATTAATTAAAGTTTAAATGGTATTCTAGTTAAATCTTCATCTAAAGATTGTGTCTCAGGTTTAAACACAGAAGAAAACATTCTTTGATGGTTACAAGGGTGGGGAGGGAGGGAGAGGGGAATTCACCAACTAGATAGTAGACAAGAATTATCTTAGGTGAAGGGAAGGACAACACACAATACAGGGGAAGTCAGCACAACTGGACTAAACCAAAAGCTAAGAAGTTTCCTGAACACAAACAAACACTTTGAGGGACAGAGTAGCAGGGACAGGGGTCTAGGGATCATGGTTTCGGGGGACATCCAGGTCAACTGGCATAGCAAAGTTTATTAAGAAAATGTTCTGCATCCCACTTTGGTGAGTGGCATCTGGGGTATTAAAAGCTAGGAAGCGGCCACCTAAGATGCATCAATTGGTCCCAAACCACGTGGAGCAAAGGAGAATGAAGAACACCAAAGACACAAGGAAAATGTTACTCCAAGAGACAAAAACGGCCACATAAACCAGAGACTGCATCAGCCTGAGACCAGAAGAACTAGTTGGTGCCCGGCTACCACAAATGGCTGCCCTGACAGGGAATACAACAGAGAGTCCCTGATGGACCAGGAGAAAAGTGAGGTGCAAAATTCAAATTCATGTAAAAAGACCAGACTTAATGGTCTGACTGAGACTACAGGAACCTCAGAAGACATGGCCCTGGACTCTCTGTTAACCTAGAACTAAAACCATTCCCAAAGCTAGCTCTTCAGATGAAGATTAGACTGGACTATAAAACATAAAATAATAATCATGAAGAGTGTGCTTCTTAGTTCAAGTAGATACACAAGACTAAATGCGCAGCTCCTGGCCAGAGGCGAGATGAGAAGGCAGAAAGGGATAGGAGCTGGTTGAATGGACACGGGAAATCCGGGGTGGAAAGGGGGCATGTGCTGTCACATTACAGGGATAGCAACTAGGGTCACATAACAATACGTGTATAAATTTTTGTATGAGAAACTAACTTGGGCCATAAACTTTTACCTAAAGCACAATAAAAATAAATAAATTAAAAAAAAAGATCATGCCTCAGAACACCTTGATCTTCCAGGCTCACCTGAAGCATTTTGTCAGGGCTGGGCTCAATACCGGGTGGCATGTTGCTTGGGTCAAAGGCTATCTGTTCAACTTCAGCAAAGTAATTGACAGCGTTCCGGTTTAAGACCAGTTTACCAACTGGAATAAGAGGAAAGTCCTTGTGAGGCCAAACCTGAAAAAAAAAGTCATACTCACAATTACCAGACAGCCAACTGAAAGAAACTAACAATTGCCACAAACCAACTGAAGAAAACTAAAACTACCCATAAAAATATCAGCATTCAAATCTAATGATGCCAAAGATGACAAGCAAAAATAATAATTTTTAATCCAATAAAATATGTTAAGAATGTAAAGTAAGTATACTAGTTGAATCTTTCAAAATAGTAAACGGTAATATTGACAAAAGTACACCACAGGCAAAGTACTTCAACTTTTCAGAATTTGCTCCCTGCTAATAACAATGTAGGAGCCTTGGTGGCACAGTAGTTAAGTGTTTGGCAGCTAATCTAAAGGTCAGCAGTTTGAACTTAACCAGCCGCTCCTTGGGAGAAAGATGTGACAGTCAGCTTCCGTAAAGATTGCAGCCTTGGAAACCCTATGGGGTAGTTCTACTCTGTCACACAGGGTCACTATGTGTTGGAATCGACACAACCACTTCGGGTTTGGTTTTGATTTAATAATAACGTATCAAACCGCCAACATAAACTTGTCAAACACGAATATGGAATTGAGATGCTGGTGAACTCTCACTGACAGGCCAGGAAACTCTAAATGGTACTTCTGCACTTTGTATATAACTTCCCTATCATTGTGAATACTTACTAAAATTTTTTAAAAATTAGGAAATAAGAGATTATAAAAGAAGAAAACAGTTTGGTTGTTAACTGACTCACCTTGGTGAGATCAAATGGATTAAATGGAAAAGTTTCTGCCTGACTAAATGTCATGACCTGGATGTAAAAGGTCCAGGAGGGGTAGTTGCCTGTGGCAATGGCATTATAAAGATCACGGAGGCCGTAGTCAGGATCTTCTTGGGCAAGTCTTGCTGCATCTTCCACAGAAAGGTTCTTGATGCCCTGGTCAGTCTACAGAATGAAAGAAATAAGCTCAAACTGAAACTTACTGGCAAAGTTATCAAACTGTAATCAGTAATTCATTGAAGGCTTATGAGACTCGATCGAGAACTTTTCATGGAAGTAACACTAACCAAAGGTAGAATTTTCCTTGCAACAATACCTCCATTGTTCAAATCTGACACGAATATGAATTTATCAACGAGAAATTCTACTTGATTATTCTGATTCTTCTAATGTCCAGGGAACTCAGGTTACATAGTTTATACTTAAAATTAGTTCTATCTTTCCGTTTATATATTTCTATATTATTTGAATTTTTACAGCTTTATATTTTAGTTTTCTGATTAGAAAAGTATTTTGAAAACAATCAAATGATTAATAAAATTAAAAAGGACGCCCCCTTTTTTACAAGATTTTTTTTTATTTCCTATAATAGCTCAAATCAATAACTGAGATTGTGCTCAGCTAATATTCCCTCTGCCTCTACTTTCTTCCTTTATTTTTTTTAAGAAACCATAGAATCATAGTTCATAGAGCTGAAAAGAACTTCAGTACAATTTTTCCGACCCAGCTCTCCCAGAATTAGTAGTCTGACTTTCCAAACAAGCAGTTAAGACCCAAAGAAGGTAAGTCACTTTCACAAGTGCTCTTGTATGATAATACCATACATATCTTCAATAAACTTCCTGTGTAAATCCGTAAGGCCCTCAAACAAGCCAAGTGCCATGAGATTTCCTTAGTAAAAGTCAACTCTGAAAGTCTTGTTCATTTCATCCCAACTCTCTCTAGCCAGTGGAAACATCTGAAGCCTTCCTTCTCTTGGACCAGAAACGAAGCCACCTTCACCACTGAAAACTGAATGCCACCATTTGCAGATCACCCAAAGAGCAACAATTTGCAACAATACTGCAATATCTCTCTGATTTTAACTGAGTCCCCTAAGTTTAGAAAAGAATAATCTAAATCAGAATAACCCCACCTGATGTGTCCATGTCACTCTCAGGTTGCCTCAGGGCCCTCTGCTGAACAGATCCATAAGCAATCCAATCTTTCCAGACTGTGGACAGCTGGTAGTATTATTATCATCCCAATTTTACAGTGAAAAAAGCTGGAGCTTAGAAAACATTTAATACTATGCCCAAGGTCATACCTATCTACAAAAATAAAGATATGAATTCAAGCTGGTCTAATTCTAAAGATACCAGGTGCAATTGTTCAGTCTAGCTCTAAATGATACTAAAATGCTCCTTTTGGCAATAACCAGCCAATGGGTCAACTGTTCCTTAAAACGGTTCCCAGTCAAACGTTACAGATCCAAGCCATAAGAATGAAGAGGGGTGAGAGTTTTCCTGTTAGACATGCTTGCACACGTTGTTCAGATGAAGATTAAGATGGGACAGAAGAAAACAGGTCTTTTAGATAGCATTAAGAGGAAGACCACTTCTATCCCTGCTGATTTTAGCAGTATCGGAAACAGAAGTTCTTAAGCCACCAGAGGTTTTTAACCCCCTGGAGCTCTTTGGGAATATTACTTATTCTAATAATGCCAACAACATACCAAGAGAGGACCCTATAATAAAACATTTCAACTAATTAAAGGGTTCTCAAAAGCAAAGGTAACCAGTTTGATCTAACTGCATGAAAACAAATAAAACAAGCGTTAGGAGAATTTTGTTTTCTGACACTCATAATTGATTTTACTTATTTTCCTTGTTCATAACATACCCTTAATAAATGCTGAATGAACAGATGGGTGATTTTAAAAGTTAGGAGAAATGTCTCTAGAAAGAAAGCATCAGATGTGGGGAGTGACAGTGTGGGGTTTACATAAACTTTCCCCAAAGAATGTGGTCTTTGTTCCTGAGAGACGATCACCAAAATCTTGGTTTAGGAAACCATTCCTGAATGGTTTAAGTATCTTGGATAAGAACTCCAAACCACACTTAACCAATAAGTTATGCCAGTGAGGTGACTCTTGGGTAGGGGCTGGCCAGGCCAGAGAGACCCACCTCTTGATACCATACTATAAGGACCACCTCATGATAAGCTCCATGGGCTTCCTGGTTGGTGACAGACATCAGTGCATGTGGAGAATAGTGCATTACATTTTGGGACATGGAAGTTTTGCATTGGGAACCTTCCCAGACCTTGCTCTAATAAGTGTCTCTTCATTTATATGCTTTTTGCTGTAATAAAACTGTAATCATAAGCACAGCACTTTCCATGAGTTCTCTGAGTCATTCTAGTGAATTATCGAACACTAAGGAGTAGTGGGAGCCAGCAGATCAGAAATGAGGGGGTCTGGGAACTCATGAGCTTATGGCTGGTATTCTGAGGGGGTAGAGGGATTTCCCCAAATTTGTACCCAGCAGGTCAAAAGTGAGGGGAGCCCTGGGAACTCCCAAGCTTGAGGCTGGTGTCTGAGGTTTTGGGCAGACGTGGCAGTCTGGAAGACTGCACCCTTTATCTTATGAGACCTGACTGAGCTCTGGGTGGTTAAGATCAGAGGAAGAAGTGCTGCATATGCAGCTGGTGTCAGAACAGAAGTGGCAGAGAAGTACAAAGGTGGGATTTGATATATCCTTACAGATGGTGAGACTGGTATTATAGACAGGAACACTCCAATTCTGCCTTAATCCTCTCCAAGATTCCACAAGGTAACTATGCTCAAGACAATGACTCAGGGCTAGAAAAAAGTGAAGCAACCTAATACTTTACGGTTTGCTAGGACTTGATTCTACACTCCAACACAGAATTCTAGAAAGCTGTATATGTGTGTGTGTGTCTTGTCTGTCTGTATCTAATCTGCTCTTTTTATAACTCAGAAGTGATTCACTTAGAACCCACCCTACTCGGGTATGATCTAATTAACATAACACAAAACCTATTTCCAAACAGGATTACATCTACAGGTAATTAGGATTCCAACACATATTCTGGGGAGACATAATTTAATACATAACAGTGAGAGCAAGGTGGGAGAGCCCTTGTTTTTTGTACCATCCTCAGAAGGAGTAAGGAGAGGTGGTGGTGGAGCCCTGCATCCTCCCACCCCAGAGAGGCAACATGTACCTTATAATGGAATTTGCAATAAACTGCCTCGTCATTCGCATTAATCAGTTTGAAAGTATGTGATCCATATCCATTCATGTGCCGATGTCCGTCTGGAATCCCTCGATCACTGAACAAGAAAGAAACCTAAGGAACAGAAACACAGAGTCTAACAATTTTCAGTTTAAAGCAGAATACCTTAGATTTTTAAGACATTCCTAACTAAATTTCTGTTTAATCCCTTAATGACATGGAACATACAAGCCCGTTACCCATGGGAAGGGTAACCATGATTTCATTTGCAGAAAACAGAATTTTAAAGCAGAATGATTCATAATTCATTAACAGCATGGCTCAGAATTCTAGGCAAGAAAGCTAAAGCAAACCTGAAAACTAGTCTAACTTGATATTGAAAAATTACTTTAATAGAAAATTTGTTTGGTACCACCTTCCCCTCATTCCACCAATACGAAAAGATTTAACTCATACTAGAATCTTTGATCCTTAATATTGTTAAATATGATCTATGCTTCTAACTATTATCATCATCATTTAAGGACTACGGATCGGGGAAGATTAACAAAATCAGTCATTATAAAACTCTTCATGATCAAGAACTCTGAGGAGGTCTCCCAAAAAGAAAATCAGAAACCAATCCCAATAAAATAACCAAAACAAGAGATGCCCGTTATGACCCATGATGAACAGTTCCATTCCAGGTGATGGTTGTGATACAGTGAAAAACTGAGTGTTCCCACCTGATGCAGAGACTCAGGGCGCAGGCTCCAGAAGTCCCACATCATGTCAGGATCCTTCAGGTGCGTTTGAGGGTTTCTCTTTTGGCTGTGGATAAAGGAGGGGAACTAAATGGGAGGAAAGAAAATACCAGAACTAAGTTTACAGGAATTATGGTGTCACCAGGCAATGTTTATTTCTGTTATACATAAGGTCACCATGAAGTCTGAGCTGACTCGACAGCAACTAACAACAACACATTATACTTTGCCTATTGCTAGGTTTATGGATTATAATTCTGAACAATTCTAGAATTTTCACCCGTCAAATCCTCAAATGAAATTCACGCAACATCACGCTAGTGCCTGAGATACCCTAAAGTATTTCAAATACACTCAAAGCTATAGCATCTCTGTAAGGAAAAAAGGCATGCATGTGAGGCACACACCTCCTGCTGATTCAGAGCACGTAGAAACACCCTCTACTTGTTTCCAAATTTTTGTCATTTGAGCTAATAAAAATATATTAAGTACAGAAAAACGTGTTTAAAAAGGCAATCCAGCCAACACAAATTCTCTTCTTTCTGCCTTTCCCAGGCATTCTCCTCAAATGCCAATCTATGCAGAGTACTTGAAATCAATTCACATTAAGAAAAATTTATAGAATGCAGATTACTATTTTTATCACCTACCAATAAGGCATCTCTGATGAAGAAAATGGGGGTGTTATTTCCAACAAGATCCCAGTTACCATCTTCTGTGTAAAATTTCACTGCAAACCCCCGAGGGTCACGAACTGTGTCAGCTGAGCCCGATTCTCCAGCTAAATGACAAACAGGAAAAATGAAATGTTAGTCAGAGCACTTTGCATCCAAGAAGCCCAAAGCCATAAACATTGGTATCTATCCTTTTCAATCCAGTTTCTAGAAGTAAGTCAGGTGTTTAGGTGCCTGGGTTATTATTTCTACCACCCACCAGCTAATCTGACCTACGAATTAAACAAAGGAATTAACTGAGAGTAATAAGAGAATATATGTAATAACAGCTGAAAAGGTTTATCCATTTAACGTAAGAAGATAGCTTTGTTTAAACAGGTAATTAAAATTTAAATTAAAATAGTGGAAGAGAATACTCAGGAATATTAAGGTAGTGAACAAAGAAAATAAAATGAGTTGCAAAATTATGAGGTTAATATTAAGAAAACGAACGAGAAACTAATTGCTCTGTAAACATTCACCCACATCACTATTAAGAAAAAAAGGAAATGAAGTGAAATATAGGTTCCATTCTTAATTTCATTTTTTTTTTTCATTCTACCAAACAAAGAACAAACCCATTGCTGTCAAGTCTATTCCAACTCATAGCGACCCCACAGGACAGAGTAGAACTGTCCCATAGGGTTTCCAAGGAGCAGCTGGTAGATTCGAACTGCCAACCTTCTGGTTAGCAGCCAAGATTTTAACCACTGAGCCACTAGGGCTCGTTGCATTCTACGGTATTTTAAAAATGCAAAAGCAAGAGGGAGGGCCAAGATGGCGGAGTAGTCAGACGCTTCTGGTGGTCCCTCTTACAACAAAGACCCGAAAAAACAAGTGAATCGATTGTATGTGACAATCTAGGAGCCCTGAACATCAAAGGCAAAGTTGAGGAATCGGATGGAGTGGCAGGGGGAGGGAGAGACAGTTCAGAAGCAGCAAGGAGTTGCCAGACCTGACCCAGCCAGCGCCCTGCGGGCCAGACTGGCTGGCACGCACAGTGAGGAAAGCAGTGGCGTTTGGGACACGATTTCCATGTCAGGAGAGACCAAGCGGTGGAGAGTCTGCTCAGGCCTCCAGAGTCAGTGAAAAGTGGTGCTCAATTGACAAAAGATAAGAAAGGGACAGGAGCTGGTTGAATGGACACGGGAAATCTGGGGTGGAAAGGAGGAGTGTGCTGTTACATTTCAGGGAGAGCAGCTAGGGTCATATAGTAATGTGTGTATAAATTGTTGTATGAGAAACTGACTTGAACTGTAAACTTTCACTTAAAGCACAATTAAAAAAAAATTGTTGACTTAAAAAAATGCAAAAGCACAGAATGATACAGAAACAGAATTAATTACACATTGTGGTGTATCAAAACGTAGTTATGATAGATCTGTTGTTGTCATTGGGTGCTGTCAAGTCAATTCCTACTTGTAGCAACCCCATGTGACAGAGCAGAGCTGCCCCATAGGGTTCTCTTGGCTGTTATCTTTATGGAAGCAGATTGCCAGGTCTTTTTCCCACATGCCAGGTGGGTTCGAACTGCATACCTTCCATTTAGTAGCTGAGCATTTAACCGTGGCGCCACCAGGACTCTAACACTTACTAATTCTGTCACATGAGGAAAATTACTTAACCTTTCTGAAATGAAAATAATTCTTATAAAGGTAGCTCTACGGATCAGAGATAATGTCTGCAACACACTAACCATGGTTAGCATATAGTTAATTCTCAATATATGGCAGCTGTTATCATGGTTATTGAATAAGATTCCCACCCTAACGCTTCCACGTGAGGTGAGCGATCACTTGTAGGCAAGTGCTTTCCAAATGCCAGAGAACTGTAGAGATGGCCTCTGTGTAAGTGCTGCTGTGTAAGACCTCAGCAAACAAAAATATAAGCCTACATGTCTCAAAATATTGTTTCTAGTATATAAACCTTGCTACCATTTGGAGAATTGCTTATGTACTATTGTCTAATAAGTTTTGAGTGAAAGTAAGTTATAAATGCCCCAAATAAGAAACAGGGTTGAGTTTATCAAGCTATACCAGTCACACAAATAGACCAACTTACCAACAGTGGAGAATCGAACTGCAATGGGAGTCCTCTTTCCAATATGCTCAAACACCTTTGCCTTGGAGTATCTGGTAATGTCATGTGTGACCTCAAAGTAGCCAAAGGCCCCTAACGAGAAAGACACAGAAACCATCACCATGAGACCATTACTCAGCCCATGAGGCCTTCAACCCTCTTCCAGGCATCTGGGTGACTACAAAGAGAAATTGAAGGTTTAGCCCTGGCCTTCTTGGAGCTTCTAACATGATGGGGAAGGGAAGACATCCAAACCCAAAACAATGAGAGCCCAATACAAAGCCCTATTAGCATTCAGTGCTAAACTGAGCACTACAGAGCTGGAGTCAGGAGAAGAGTGGGCTGGGAGTGGTTAGGCAAGGATGACCACAGGTTGACCAAAGAACATGGGCCAATAGGGCCGTGAAGCACAGATAGGATCTACAAGAGAAACAGAAGAACAAGAAGGAGAGGAGAGAAAATACAGAGAAAGAAATAATAATCTAGACATTTATTAAAGACACCACAGAGTGAAACAATAAACTGAACAGCATATCAAAGTCATGGTAAAGATGGGAAGAAATCTTATCTAGGAAAAAAAAGAGATGAAGAAATTAGGAACTCCTAACTAAAGTCCAAATAAGCAGGTTAAGGAAAATTTTTTTCTTCCTTTCTATTGAGTTTTATTTTTCCTATTGAGTTGTCTTCTTTTAAACACCACCACCACCTTTTGTTTCTGCCATAAAAGTAAGATAAAAGTTTTACAGATGTGTGGGACAAAAGGAAAGGAAAAATCACACCAGATCCACCACCTTAATACAACTATCTTCAATTTTACATTTTGTTCCAGTATTTGTCCAATAAGTACACCATTTAAACCCATTTGCAATTATAGTGTGTGTCTGTATGTCTGTATTTTTTAAATTTCCTCACTGAACTGTACAATGGAAGAAATATTCATGATTACAATTTTTTATTTTTAATAAAATAAACTGTTTTCTACAATATATTCTATCCAGGGCAATACCGCTGCCGTCGAGTTGATTCAGACTCGTAGCAACCCTATAGGATACAGCAGAACTGCCCGATAGGGTTTCCAAGGCTATGATCTTTATGGAAGCAGACTGCCTCATCTTACTCCTGCAGAGCTGCTGCTGGGTTCAAACTACTGACCTTCGGGTTAGCAGCCAAGTGCGTAACCACTTCATCACCCGGGCTCTGTATCCAAGGCAATAACCCTCATTTAATTAATAATTCCCCTATAGATGGACATATTTCTTTCTCCCAGGGATAGAGATTTGACACATCTATTAAAGAAGCATTTCCCTTTGGGAAATAATTTTTGACCCAGGAACTACAAAACAAGGCTTTTTACAACAAACAAACATAGTTCTCACCTGCTCCTTTAGCATGCACGACTCTCTCAGGAATTCTCTCCCGGTCAAAGTGGGCCATTTCATCAGTGAAAACCACATCCTGAACCAGAAGGGGTCCCCGGGGCCCCACTGTAATAGTGTTAAGTTTGTCTCCTATGGGGTTACCGGCTCCAGTGGTCAGGACATCAGGTTTCTAAGCGAACACAAAAGGGAAAAAAGCACAGGAGAGTCAACACAATGAAATCCTTAATTTATATGCTCACACCCAATGCCATCGAGTCCATTCTGCCACATAGCGACCCTATAGGACAGAGGAGAACTGCCCCGTAGGGTTTCCAAGGAGCGGCTGGTGGATTTGAACTGCCGACCTTTTGGTTAGCAGCCAAGCTCTTAACCGCAGCGCCACTAGGGCTTCTATATGCTCATAGTGTATATCATTTTGCAATTTTTACACCTTTTTCCCTAACTCTTTTTAAATTTCCTGTGTCCAAAATATTGGAATACTACAAAATGTGCCATTGCCTGAAATTTATCGCCAGATCTCAGAAATCCTTGATAAATCTCAACACCAATCTGCGAAGAAACTTGCTCTGAAAAGCAGAAATCATGACTAAATAATCTGCCAACAGCTCGGCACCTCCTCTAAAGAGACACAACTCTACACAGGGAGCCCCCAAACAGGGATCCCCCAAAAAGCGACCACATGTGCTTTGCACTCAATGTCCAAACTAACAGTGAGAAGATGGTCTCCTAACCAGACCGTCTGCTGGTTACTGCTTTGCTCAGAACTTACAAATACTTTGTTACTGCTGCGAATGTTAAAACATATCATCCTCCATAATGCATTCCTTTTTCTCAAGCAGTGTATAGTAGCTACTTACAACATCTCTTTTCAATTCCGGGGGAGGTGGGGGAGTCAGGGGCTTTTATTGTCACTAAGAATAAACTGTTTCTGGTAAAATAGATTACAGTATTAATTTTCTAAGATGTCAAATGTCCCTGAAATGGGATAGGTTATTTTACTGTAATAAGGAACTAGTTTTAATCCACCCAATTCTCTGATTTCAGTTACATCAGAAGCATCTCAGCTGTCCCTCCTCTAGGGTGGGAACAACGTTTCTAAGTCCCACGTAATCCTGGGCAGCTCTTAGCTTTGCATTGTTTTGTTCCAGGGTCAAACACTCTATTTTTGCTGACAGACAACGGCCTCCCCAGTGTCTTTCCCTGGGTACTAGGAAATCAGGAGACAGGTGTGGGTGAAGCAAAGCTAAGCCATCTCCATCCTGGAAGAACAACTCAGTAAGGTCTACTGATAAAAGTCAATGTAACCAACTTCACACACCCGAAAAAGCATTATTCTCAGCATTTCCACAAACTCTACCCTCCCTAGGGTGGGGTGTATAACTTTCGCCTCTTTGTGCATCCATCTTGCATATTAAAATAAAGTTAATACCTGCCTCTTCTCTAAAAGACAATGTGCAGCGGGCAGTGTCACTTAAACTAATAAAATACTATGAGCTGTTTGGAAAAAGGCATGGAATAAAAGAGATCTCAGAATTTGCAAACTTAATGAACAAGACTCTCACACACGCACTAGTAAACCCTCCTGGCCCACTAGAGTTCCGCTGACATCAAAATGGCAAGAGGCCTGTACAGTACCACAGAGAAACCAGGAGTGCTGGCACCACAGAGCCTGGATCCAACTTCCAGCTCTGCCAAGTACCAGCTGTGCAGCTACTGGCAAGTGACTTGTACTTCTGAGTCCCAATTTTTCATCTGTAAAATGGACAGAATAACAACTACCTCACAGAATGAATTTGTGGATTAAAAGAGCTAAAGTATGCAAAATGCAGGCCATATACTAGGCATGTATATGCGAACCACTTTACTAGCTGTGGAGTCCCCCGGGTGGTATAAATGGTTTGCAATCAACTATTAACCTAAAGGTTGGCAGTTTAAACCCACCCTGCAGCACGTCGGAAGAAAAGCTTGGCAATCTGCTTCTGTAAAGATTATAAAGATTATAGCCAAGAAAACCCTATGAAGCAGTTCTATCTGTAACATCAGGGGATGTCATGAGTTGGAAGTGACTTGACAGGAACGGGTTTGGGTTTTTTGTTTTGTTTTGTTTTGTTTTACTGGCTGTGAGGAAGTGACCTAACAGCAGAAGAAGCAAAGCATTTATATTTTATTTTTCAAGTACTCATGACAGATGTGCACTCCCCCACACAGACTCTCTGACTCGGCCCTTCCCCATCTAGCAGCAAACCCTTCAAAACTGTCAGTAAGTTTAAAGGTTCAGTCAGTGGTTATCACGCAGTAACACCATTTTCTTTTGCCAGGACACATGTTGCTAATACATGTGACACTGTGTATTTATTATTTTTTGAAGTAAAATATGAGCCAGAAAACGAAAATACAAAGTTGCACAATTTCACCTTCAGTTTAAACCTAATGCCTTGGTTTTCATCTGCAATGTACAACGGAATCATCCAGAGGGATTTAAAAAAATACTGATGCCTGAGTCATCCCCCTAGAGATTTTTTTTATATAATTAGTCAGGAGTGAGGCCTGGATATCAGGATTTTTTATGCTCCCCAAGTGATTCCAAAGTGAAGCAGAGATTGAGGACCACTGACCTAAAGCTTTCGGGTGTTTCAAAATTAAAATAATAAGGCAGTTTGAGTAAATTAAATCTGTCTGCTCCTTAAATGCTCTTTTCACTATATAAACGAGGCACTTAAGGAAATCTAAAAAAATAAGGACATCTCATATAGGAGAAGAGTGCAAGAGAGGATACCAAGAAGCTTAGTAAAAAGAAAAGCTAACCATGTCAGAGTTTTGCTTAACTCACTGCTATCGAGTCGATTCCAACTCATAGCGACCCTATAGGATACAGTAGAACTGCCCCACAGAGTTAGTTTTGCTTACATGCTTGCATTTCTAATGCAGGAAAGAAGCTGCCGCTAAGAAAGGAAAAAAGGACATTGCATGAGATATGAAAACCGCATCTCATGTCCCCTGCTGATTACTAGGTCATGGTGATACAGTTAAGAATAAAAAACACGCCCAAGGGAGGCACATGCGGAGTAAGTGCCAATGACTATCTGTTGGATGGATGGATGGATGGATGGGTAAGTGAAGAACTAAAGCATGACATGGTCTCACTAGAAGACAATGAATTATGGAATCTTAAAGTGAGAATTCTGGACTTATGCCACCATTAGTCCCACCACCCACTCAATTCAGGAACCCCCTCCATAACATCAACAATGTTAAGAAATGAAACCTGGACCATACACAAAAACTAACTCTAAATGGATCAAAGACCTAAATATAAAACCTAAAACCATAAAGATCATGGAAGAAAAAAATAGGCACAATGTTAGAGGCCCTAATATATGGCATAAATAGAACACTGAACATAACAAAAAATGTACAAACAGCAGAAGATGAACAAGATAAATGGAACCTCCTAAAAATTAAACACTAATGCCATCAAAAGACTTCTCCAAAAAAGTAGAAAGAGAACCTACAGACTGGGAAAAAAAATTTTTGGCTATGAAAAGGGTCTAATCTCTAAAATTCATAGAAAACGTCAACACCTCAACAACAAAAAGACAAACAATCCAATTAAAAAGTGGGCAAAGGATATGAACAGACACTTCACCAAAGAAGACATTCAGGCAGCTAACAAACACATAAAGAAACGCTCATGCTCATTAGCCAACAGAGAGATGAAAATCAGAGCTACAATGAGAAACCATCTCATCCCAACAATAATAATGGCACTTAAAAAAGAAAATAACAAATGTTGGCAAGGTTGTGGGGAGATTAGAACCCTTATACACTGCTGGTGGGAATGTAAAATGGTACAACCACTATGGAAAACAGTATGGCACTTCCTTAAAAAGCTAGAAATAGAAATACCACATGATCTAGCAATCTCACTCCTAGGTATATACCCTAAAGAAATAAGGAAAAAAATGTATAATGTATGTAGTACAACATGTAATAAGGAAGATATGTGCAAAATATAATTTTAAATCACTAAAAAAAAAAAGAAATAAGAGCCATGACACAAATAGACATATGCACACCCATGCTCGTTGCAGCATAATTCACAACAGCAAAAAGGCAGAAACAACTTAAGTGCCCATCAACAGATGAACGGATAAACAAACTGTGGTATGTACACACAACTGAATACTACACAATGATAAAGAATAACAACGAATCCGTGAAACATCACACAACATGGATGAATTTGGAGGAATTATGCTGTATGAAATAAGTTGATCACAAAAGGACAAATATTGTATGAGATCACTATTATAAAAAAACAAGAAAAGGTTTACACAGAAAAAAAATTATTTGATGGTTACCAGGGATGGGAGGGAGAGGGAGGGAAAATTACTAACTAGATAGAAGACTGTTAATACCGGTGAAGGGAAAGGCAACACACAGTATGTGGGAAGTCAGCACAACATCACCAAGGCAAAGAAAGACACTGAGAGGGACACAAGAATAAAGGGCAACTATAGTAATTACTGTAACATAGACAATCCTGCAACAATAGTATTAACAAACAATCTAGGAATGGATAGATAGGTAGATAGGTATGTTAAAGAGGTGTGAGAGGGTGTAAGGGAGCACACCCACTTGTAGATATAGGTTTGGTGGCAGATATTTCTACATACATAATTATAGGTGCTACGTGTATATTTATATAGACAATAAAGCACACAAGAGGCACAGTCATGGAAACTTCTTAGACATAACCACCTTGCAGAACGAAGTTTCTAGGCTTGAAGGTGAAGGACCACAGACTTGGGGGACATCTACACCAATTGGCACAACATAGTTTATAAAGACAATGTTCTGCATCCTACTTTGGTGAGTAGCATCTGGGGTCTTAAAAGCTTGCAAATGGCCATCTAAGATACAACTATTGGTCTCTTCCCATCAGGAGCAAAGGAGAGTGAAGAAAACCAAAGACTCAAGGGAGCAGTTAGTCCAAAGGACTGAAGGACCACATGAACCACAGCCTACATGACCCCGAGACCAGAAGAACTAGATGGTGCCTGGCTAACATTACCAACTGCTCTGACTGGGATCACAACAGAGGGCCCCGGACAGAGCAAGAGAAAAATGTAGAACAAAAAATCAAATTCACAAAAAAGACCAGACTTC